TTTTTTTGTTGTGAATTTTAATACACTCATGGGTTAGTTGTGGATTTTTTGTAATATATTGACTGTTTTCCTTCTCTTTCTGACACAAACAGCATAATGCTAGAATACATTAGAATATAATGAAAACAAATGCACACAATTGAGAAGGGTTTCATTAAACAATAAAATATGCACTATTTTAAAATGAATGAGAGAATTGAATTAATCATTAACTTTTTCTTTTTGAGCTAAATTTAAGATTGATCACCATTGGTAAAGTGCCATTTTTAGTGGGAAAACTTTTTACATTCTATATATTAAAATAAAGCTTAGATATTTGGGGGAAGGGGTTAAACTGTTAGTAGCAAAATATAGAGCATTTGCCCCCATCATTGTAGGATAGACGAAGAAGCAAGATAAATAAAGGTGGAAGGATGAAAAAATAACCGCTTGTTATTGGTATTATGTTAATTTTATAAAGTCAAGTGTTTCCTAAATTTTACATTGATAATATCCCTTACCAGATTTTTTGGGGCTGGGGGTGGAAACAGGGCCTGATTCTGGATCTTGACATATGTTGAGTGATACCTTTAATCCTGGAGCTGTACTATTCATTTCAATGGGATTATCCAAGGACTAAGGTACTACTCGACATGAGTAAGGACAGTTGATAATCTAATCTATGTGTTCTATTTTGTTTTTAAAATCAAACCTTTGTTTTGTCTGTTGTGCGGAAGTAGATATTTTGTCCTCGTTTGTTTAAAATAAATTCTACATCCAAAATGCATAGATAGATATATCATTTTAATACGTATAAAATAAAAGAATATTTTTAATACTTCCACTGTTTTAATACCTTTTTTTATTGTGGATGCATTATATGGAAAATATCAATTTTGTATCATGACATTTGTGGCATGAAGATGTCATGTATTAGGCATCTATAGCCACAGAATATGTGATTTACACTGTACTGTATTATATGGAAAAATTATGAATAAATATACAGGAAGTGCTAGCAAATAAAGTAGTATATGTAATATCTCTGTCTCCCTACAGTTAGTAAAACATTTTAAGAGGCAGAAAAATATCTAAAACTGGAAATCTAAATTATGGGTATATGAGAAGCCTAATGACTTTAAAAATACATTGTTAGAAATTAGGCATCCGTGTTTTTTAGGAAACAAAGGAAAGATCCTCTTTCCTTTGTTAATGGCATTTATCATCTTTAACTCGTTAGCTGCTGAAGATGGGAGCCAAAATACTGAGGGGAGTGTGGCTCTGTACACTACTCTTGACAAACTGTACATAAATTCTCCAAGGAGAATATGTGTATGGGTATCTGAATCTTTTCTTATAAATTTGTGCTTAATACATGTGTACACAGACATGGACTATTTTTCCATGAGTGTAACTCTACCTAACCTCCTTTCAGAGAATGTACGATTTTTCCCCATGTGCAATGTGATTTTTAATCTTGCAAATTGAAAAGCAGACCCTGAAAGGAACCTCATAATATCTAGAGACACATCCTCATCTTTTTAATGACCCCTATGCAAAGTAGAAATACTTTCTGAGATGCCCAAGGAAAGAATAGCAAAATGGAATATATTATGGGATAGTGAAGCCTGATTGATTGTTTAGTTTGATAGTGATTTTTATATTTCCAGGGACATTTATTTTAAATAGCTTATTTTTAAAAGAAACCTTTTTCTCCTACATTTTTTATTTTAAAAAACTGTGTATCTCCATACCTTGCCCAGAGTTGTCATATTTCAAATGTAAAATACATTTCTTATTTGTTAGGTGTTCTATGTATGCATTCAAAAATCTTTACATTAGTCTGCATTAATTTTAGCTTTACAATAATTTTAATGTTAAATACTCTGGAGAAAGTACAACAAGAACAAAGCTTTAATCTTCATTAGCATTCTTGTTCAATTCAGTCTCTGCTTCTTTTTAGTCCACTGAATTCCACTAGTTAGAGGATTAAAGCATTTTCTCCCTATTCTAAAGTTAAAGAACTTTGATATTTCAATCACGTCAATGAATATGAAAATATTATTAACTAGCATTTAAAAAAATCCAATGTCATGTATTTGGAATATAGAAAGTGATCATGTGTCTTGAAACAAAGCACTTACTGTGAATGTATTTCTTTTAAGGAGAATTTATTTTTCAAGACAAACTGAACAGGATATGTCGTAATTGTCTCCTTCATCCTCATTAATTACTAAACAGGATCCTTCTAACAACTGTGGATGATGACTGCCAGTTTAACTATACTAAGAAAAAATATCCAATAGCTTTTCCCCATAAACACTGTTACTTTTTTAACAGAAGAAACAACTTTTTGAGGCACCAAAAAAGGAAAAGACAAAACTAGAATATTAAATATAAGAAATTGTGAAAATTGCCGTGGCGGCAAGGCAGAAAAATGTCCTAAACCAGAGGATCCTCCCGATTCTGATTTCAGTAGAAAAGAGAATAGTTGCAAGAAAAAAGCTCAAATTTGCTTACTTGTATTAATTGATAGTGGGGAGTGATGGTAAGGAGAGTAAATACTAAATTTCTCAAGAGTAAATGGCATGTCTATGCTTCTCTTGGGGGGGATTGTACCTCAGCTATACCTGTACTCTGTCCCCAGGAGAATGCACCACTGCAGTGGTCTCAAATGGGAATAGTGTTTTTCAGGGGATTGGGAATTTGTACCTCTCTCCGTGTTGTTCGGTTTAAGTTAGATTTTAGAATGGGTGGGGATAGGCGTTGGTGTCTGTGAGAATTCAGAATGGAAATGTATTTGTTGGATATACAGTATATGCTCTCTCTGAGTTTCAACTTGAGACTTCCTAAAATGCCTGTCTGTCTCTCCTCCCCACCATCTGAAGGAATGGTACAGATCTCAGGCTGTCTACACAGCAGCGTTATTTTGGAATAACTGACATTATTCCGAAATAACAAAGAGCGCGTTTACATAGCAAGCTATTACTTTGAAATAATGGTGAGCTGGAGGACTTCTTATTCCAACTCCTGTAACCCTCATTTCACAAGGAGTAAGGGAAGTTGAAGGAAGAGTATTCTTCCTGCGGTGTAGAGAACGCTAACAGCCAAATTAAGCCATTTTGTCTTCAGCTACACAATTGACATTGCTGAAGTTGTGTAGCTTAATTCTACTTTTGCCCTGCTGTGTAGGTGTGTGCCCTTAAAGAGATATAAGTATCTCTGGCTTCTAGTTGTGGATAGATAGGAAGGTAGGTGTATGTGTGGGTGTATAGTATTTCACAAAGGATGACGAATTGTGATATAAACTACATGTAGTGGTAATATCCCTGTGATAAATGCTTTTATCATACAACTTTAACCACTACACTTGCACTCGATTCATTCATCTCTGCAAGGACTGCTGTAAGCAGGCCAAACTAATGTGCACTCCAGGCATCCACCACTTTAAAAAAGTAAACATTAAATCTGCCCCAATAATAGTCCCTCCTCCCATCCAAAATATTAAACTTTCATCTTCGCAGATCACACTGGTCTGATTCCAGTGGCAGATTGAGTTGTGGCATGTTTTATATTTAGACCATCATGACTGATAAGGAAGCACTGCATAAATAGTGAGGAAATGTTCTCAAATTCACAATGGGACATAGCTCTTGATTCTAGCCCTAGTAGGTCCCAAGACAGCTGATGGTTAAGATGCAACATTATGCACAGGAAAAATGATTTTAGGTGACCTGGAGAGAAAATGTCTCTTTGGGTGCGTTTAGACTGCAGGGTTTTTT